GTCAATCACATCCCGCGTGCAAGGATACAGAGTGCTTGACGCTATCGCGACTCGCGAAGACTCGCGAAGCTCGCGAAAGTGACCAATCAGAGCACGATAAGATTTATCATAAACCTGCTCCCAAAATATCGCGTATAATCGTTAAATTATTAGCCAGTGTAAACAGAACATTGTAGACGGTTGAGAGAATACATCTTTGTTATTATTCCTTGTTACAAATTCTAGCTATTCTATTGCTGCATTACCCTGCTCGTTCTCCAAAATATCCTCTATTCCCAGCCACGAACCGCTCTTCTACTAATACCGTAGCTGAACAGTCGGTTATGGGAATCGTCGGCGTTCGCAATTCTTTAGAGATCTTTATTTTGAGTAAAATCTTTATTAATTCCGCGAAAGAGTAGTACGCTCATTCGTGGCTGGCGCCCAATTACGGTATTGCAAACAGTATAAATCTCTGAAAATATTTTCTGTCATGTTAATTCGTTCGTGTATCAAATAAGTTATTATTTGCAAACACCTTAAAGAATATTAATCACAAACGCACGACGAAGTTCCACCACGCTCGTGAGTGCAATCGCAATGTTATACATATACACAAATATATATATATATATATATACAGGGTGTATCTGAAATAACCCACTTATCATATAGTGCTACTCCTAATAAAAAACTGTATCGAAAAGTCTTCTACCATTTTGCAATTTTTGTAATACTTTTTTTTTAGTTCACCCAATGTGAGCAAAATGTCTAAAATCAACGTATAAGACAACTTTAAGATATCTTTAAGAGTTCTTTAAAAAATATCTTCAAAATATTTCACAAGGAACACTGAAAGATATCCTAAAATTGTCTTTACATCGATTTTATCCATTTATTCGGCAATCTTTAGAAATTAATATCTCATCTATTGTCAAAATTGCAAAATAGTAGAGAACTTTTTTATTAAAAATAGCACTGTATGATTAGTGGGCGTTATTTCAGATACACCCTGTATATCTTATACACATATCTATTACATATCTTACATATCTTATAATATCTTATAATGTTTTCGGAATTAAAAAGTATTCTAAATTTTTAGTATCTGGTTCATTTCCGTTCTATCTAGATTGATCTTCGCATCAGCGACGTTTCCCGAACAATAACTACTATTAATGATATCATTACTCATGATAAAACATACAAATCTGCTTCTAATAACAAATTTATATGCTTCCCGTGAACATCGTGTTATATTACTGATTAAGTGATTAATAACAATTAATAAAATAAATATCTAAGTGACAAACAAATATTAATAAGATCGATGGAAATTATTTAATAATTAATTTCGGATAAAAAATCGTTACTTTGGGAAAAATATTATTCACAAGGTTCTTGTGATGAATCCTAATTTATTCTGTGAATGTTTAACTAGGATTTTCCTCTTCTTTTTATTGTAATTATTTTCTTTCCTTTAATTAAGTATCTCTTACATTTGCAACAAATTTACTAGCTGCACAGATTTTTGTCAACTTCTAAATAGTAGAGAAAAAAAATTCAAAGCACAATTAGATATATTTTATCTAATGTCATTTTATGCGTTCGCATTCACAAAGAGACTTCATGATATGTACGACTCATCAATTTTTCGTTCTTTCACAAGATAAAGTAGTTCATCTGTATTAACTTCATTTGTAAATCATTATGAAATTATTGAAATTTTACTTGTAAAACATTAACATCAGTAAAAACGTACAATATGTAAATAAAGAAACTATTATATATTTAATACAGATTGCTATTTTTTTATTTTCCATCCTGATATTAATATGCTTCATATATTTTTACTACTTAATATATTTTCTGATATCTAATGATATATATAATATAAGAAACAAAGAGCATTTCCCGTCTTTTAATTAAAATTTTATTAGTTTTTATTTTATTTAATTAAGAATATTACCGCATCACTTTTGCTAAAAGATTGCGGTAATAATTTTTAGGAACCTCTGTTTTCTCATCTCCAGGGTTCAAGAAAAACAAAGAAAATAACAGCATAATTTCTAAAAATAAAAAAAAATAATAAAACAATAGTATAACCGATAACGTAAAGTATGCAAATATATATAATATATTTAAAATATTATTATATAATATGTAATGTATTATTATAATATATTGCAATATTATAATATATACAATATTATAAATATGTAATACTCGTATAATGTACATATATATTCATATATAATACATTATATAATATAATTAAATAAAAACGAAAAACATTTCAAAAATTTACTATATCTATAATAAAATTTCAATATATTAAAGTTCCTAAGTGTGTGTATACGGGAACATTCCAGAGAAGGGAGATTTTGCTTAAAATCAAGCCTCCGCAGATTTACCTATTCTAAAAGAAGATTCTCACCATCGTGCCAGCCGCTAGAAGGGAAGCAAGTGGGAGACAGAAACAGATGTGATGACGTGTGCATCGCGGGTGGTTTTCATTTTGCGAACTGAATATGATTTGCCATACGAATGAGCATGTAGGTTAGCGCTTTCCTCAGGCTTTATATACCAGTATATGGGGGCTGCAGGTTGCCATCGTACTGATTCCTGACCCTGTTTCGGCCCTGCTCTTTCACCTTCGCCACGCCCCCAGCCTCCGTTTCTCTTCTTAAGGGAAAATTCTAAAATTTATGCTGCTGTTTGTTTCATAATGGAATGCCGTTTCAACACTTTTTATTAAAACTCGTGATTCCTTTAATTGTTATTTTTTTAATGTTATTCTTCAAACTTTATAGTGACGAATATATGTATAATACTTGCACCATTAAAGTGACATAATATATATAAAGAATTGTACGAAACATTTTTTTAATAAAATTAAATTTATAATTGTTATGTTAAATATTAATATTTTTTTCTGAGCAAATTTGAGTGAATTTCTTTTATTCAGCAACGTTGAAAATACAATATTTAAAAAATACAGGTTAAAAAAATTTTATTTTTTTAAATAAAAAAAATTACTTCTATAAGTAAAACATCGTTAAAATATTATTTATTAAGTTATATTAGTACATTGACTCGTGTGTAAAAACAATGTTGTTTTTATAAAAATATTTTAGGGAAATCTTTTTATATAATACGTTACAATTACAAAAAGAATTTAAATTATTCACAATACATGATTTTATTATTATAAAATTCTTAAAATTAATTTGATTGTAAAATTATTATTTTACCGCAAATTATTTATTTGTCTTTTAATTTTATTCAAAGTAATTTATGATACATAACATTAACAATTCAAAATATTAATCATTTTATTATTTGAACAAACTATATTTCTGTGATAAAAATACATAATTAATTCAATCATAGAAAAACATGCTATAACTATCTCATTTTATTATTGTTCTTACTGTTTGTTTTGTAACAAAAATGCCGTTTACTAACTAAATATATTAACCAAAATACACAATAAAATATTTCGTACTTGTGTTAAAATCAATCCTTATAAAAACTTTTGAGTTAAATTTTTAACAACTCCAAGTGTTAATTTAACATAATATAATTATGCTATTTGAATATTTTATGTTAAATTGATATTTAACATTTTTTAGTGTTAAAATAATACGATTTATAAGTAAATAAAAATAAATAACATAAAAAATGCAGTTTAACGACATAAATTCCAAGATTAATGAATTAAAGATGTATACATATGTGTTAATTTATCATATTAAATGTTAATGTTACTATAAAGAAATACGTTTTTACAATTTGTTTCCAAATTGTGTCAAAGCGTTACATTTTTTATTTTTACATAATGTAAATATATTCATCCAGTGTAAAAATTAACACAAAAATTTGAATGTACTATTTGAAACATGTGAAATTTAACACAAATTTTCTAACCGTATAGAATTTTTTTCATTATATAGTTAAAAATTTAACACATTAAATTTAACACACTTCATCTGTCTTAAACAATCCACTTAAATTTTTGTGTTACTACAACACAAATATGTTAGAAAGTAACAAATATGTAAAAAATTAACACAAAAACGTAATACAATTTTTAAGCAATCATGTTCCTCATTAAAATTAACATTTATAATACATTAAATTAACATGTTCCCATAAATTTAATATTTATAATATATTAAATTTACACATTTTATTAATTTATTTTAAAATTTACGACATTTACGTTATAAAATATGTTGTTATTTATTCATTTATTCATAAATTATGTTGTTTTAACATTAAGAAATATTCAATATCACTTTAACATAAAATGACACAATCACATTATGTCGATTTACTCCCTGTTAAAAATTCAATACAAAATTTTAACAGGGATTTAAGTGGACCGTTTCTAGCACAAATATAAAATGTTTTTTTACTGTGAACAGAATGTAAATATAAAAAAAGTGACATAAAGATATAAAAATTTTTTGTTGACACTTTTAGAATAAAATCCTTTTTATTGATTCAACTTTCTTATGTTCTTTCTGAAAAGAAGACCTGTTCAATTAATCCCTATACACACTTATCCCGATGAGACAAAATGGCGTGATAGGATACTCACGTCTCGCGAAACGGAAGGATCCGGCCACCACACGTAATCCTTTGACGAGGAAAATCGAGGAAGCACTTTCCGAAGCACTAACAATTGACACACCAATCGATTTCACTGACTCATATAAAACATCTAAAACTACTTGTCGGTCCTTTGCCGAAGTCACTCGATCTCCATCGTTCTCGACGTCTATCAGTCTAATTTTGTGCCATGTCCTTAGAAAAGTAATACATTTGGCGACTTTTCCGCATGCGAACAAAATTCTTCAGATTTATCCTCCTTCCATCAAGCTCCATCGATCATCACTCTTTGAGACTCAGATCCTTTTAGCAATCATCCCTCTCCCACAAATTCTTCAAATCTCTCTGCATTTTTTTCATAGGAGATTTCTCTTTCTGATAGCATCCTAATCCTTAAAAAGACCGTCACTTAAAATCATAGATAATATCTACAGTTTTCATTATCACGAATTTATACATCGTAATTCTTTCCATTAATGATGATATTTCTAAAGCCAATTCGCGATGTTCCTTGACAGATGGACGAATCTTCGAGAGGAATAAAAATCAATGGTTTACTTCGACATGCAGAAAACATGTTTCATACCAACAAAATCTTCAGTTTTTCTCGGCGTTAAAAATTTACAATTTCGTTTAGGAAGGATTCATTATCCCAAGCGAAGAAGAAAATTCTCTATTGGAGCGAACAAAATTCACAATTGCTTTAAATACGTTTCTGCATAAAGAATACTTCTTCAGATTCACGGGGATTTTTTCAGATGATTTTTAATTTTCTGGAGCATACAAGTGGCATTTTTTAAATGATCCATATAGTTTTTATAATCCCATTTTTTTTTAATGGACCTGCAGTTTTCCTATCACGGAACGATATCTGTCACTTTCTTTGAAAACGATATTAGCTCATTAAATTTTTCGGAAAATATGAATAAGAATATCTCCGTCGCGTCATTTCTCTTCTCCGAGCACAGATTCGTTTTCCTGCATATTTGTATGTTATTTTTCTCGATATTAATCATATTAATTACATATTGATTAATTACATATTGAACACAGGACAGCGGTACTTCTCTCTTTCGAAATCCTTAATAACAGTCAATCGCGAAATATTTTCTCATCGAACGCAGGTACCACGTATTTCCTCACTCAATACATGGATCCACGCCTTTTTGCTCTGTATAGCATTTCTCGATCTAAATATTAATTACACCGCGTAAGATCTTTATTCCCAGTATTTCTCTTCCTAAATCTAGTCATCTCTTCTTGCCCGATATTCATCAACAAGTCCACCGATTCACAAAATCTGTTCGCACTGCTTCATAACTGCTTCCGCACACCCTTGAAATTAATCACATTTATCTCCCTTTAGTGAACCGACCCAGTCTGTTTCACCTGCGCAATTTTTCCCTACAAATTCACCAATTCGGTCAACACACATATGCGCGTCTCTGCACGATTTTCTTTGAGAACTTCACCAATTCAACCCAGATCAATTATTGCCACCCTCAACATAGTTAGTTCCAAATGTCTGGCTAACATTTCTTCACCATTAACACACGAATCTCCTTTGCCCGCATAATACTTCATGAGAAGCCCGCCAAGAGAAGAAAAAGAATAATCTACTCTTCATTAATTAATTCTTTCGCGCTTTTCCTTTTCCCATATGATATTCTTCGAGAACTACCACGATCCACGAAATCTATCCGCGCACTCTCCCCTCACTCCCTCGACATGTTTCCCTTTCCTTATGTGTAGATCCACGTTTCTGTCCTCGCACAAAATGTTGTGATAAATCCAGTAGAAATCTACAATCTTTTTATTATCTTAATGTACATACAAATCCCGCTTCTCTACACTTGACAACCGTTAGTCACTTGACTAACATCACAACGTACCACTTTTTCTCACCCCCGAAATCCGAATTCACGCCTTTTCTGCCTGCACAAATTTCCTTTACTAAGCAACCGCATCGGCACCGCGTATAGAATTATATCTCAACAAACCAGGAAGCACGTTTTTTAATCACGACACATAAAACTACGAATCTCTGGGCGACGAGCGGAGGAGAAATTCGAACGGAAGCGACGCGGTAACCCAGTTTCCAGCGGGAGAGCCGCTCCTCCCGGCATGCAACACATAAAAATGGCTCCAGTTCCGTGGCATCAGGGCGGTCATGACATTCCGGAACGTCCCAGGACTTTTTCAACGATGCACAGGGATAGTAGGGTAATCCAGCTGATCTTTGTGCCAGTGACGTTGCGATACCGATTCCTCTCCAGAAACCACTCACTCTTTCCTCGTCGAAAAACGTCAAAACAGAGAAAAGAAGATTAAGAGAGCGAATGAAAGAGAATGAGAGGATAAGAGAGAGATTATTCCGAAAGAGAATATCGCAGGCATCCTGACGCCTCCGCGAGGGATACAGAATAACCTCCGCGCACCCAAAATGGTGGACGGCACTCCCGAATACCGACTTGCATTTTGCTCCGCCAGGCTCGATCCCGCTCGGTTCCGGTCCAGCAAACACCAGACTTCCGACAATCCCCTCGACCCCCGCTCAAGTTCCTCCGGAAATACTGTTCGCGCCCTCGTAACAGAACCGTCGAGCCTACCATCCGTCCTAAACGACAAACGCAGCCCTCCGAAATGGACTTTCCGCACCGCTTCCGCTCCCGCGCGATACCACTTTGACACACGCGGCGTTTGTTCGCGCGCGGCCGCGCGCGAACACTTTCACGGCAACGCTCAGCGTCGAGCGCGTTCTTCCTGGTCGCCGTCGATTGCCCTCAGCGTCGTCGATGGACCCATGGGGCTCGACAGCGTCGGCAGGATCCTCGCCGAGAGCATTCCAGGGAGGGTGGACCGCACACGCCGCGCCATCTGGCAATCTCGTGGCGAATGCACCCCCTTGTCATGGCTGCCAAACCAACCCCGAGTCAATAATAGGGCTAGAAGGTACGAATCTCGAGGCCGCGACGCCCACGCAATACCACGGATAACAATATCATGCTCCGCAGCACAGATATCACGACTCGCACCCCGTTCAAAGACGCCGAACACCTCGAGATCTTCCTCACCTGTTCCTTTCTCTCTCTCTTTCTCTTACTCTCTCCCTTCTACAGCGTTCCCGTTTCTTTTATCCTTTTTTCGCACGCTATCACAACGCGAGGCCAATCTCTCCCGAAGTATTCAGGCGGCTGCGCGATTCGCACTGAGTGCACCACCGCATGGAAACCAAGAGGGTGCGATCAGTGATCAGGAGTGTGGCTAGAGAAATTATATTGTATATAATTGTAACATTATTTCAACAATATTTTTCTCAATCGTTTTTAAACTCGATTTTTATAAAAAATAATTTTGTTATCGCATGTAAAGAGAAAATAAAGAATGTCTAATTGAAATGTTCCTTTCCTATTTTAAATAAACAAAAAAATTGTAAATTTTTAAACATAGTAATTTTTTTTATTTATCTTGTACATAAATAGGATTTGTAGTAAAGTATTCCATACACACACAATTTCTAAAACTTTTAAATGACGATTAATAAATTTTATCAAAATTAAAATTTTTTAAATTTTTTTACTGTCATTAAGTTAGACAGAAATAGATGTAATATGAAATAATAATAATTATAAAGAAACAATATAATTTTCTTTAAAATGGAAATTAATGATTAATAATTTTTATTATATATTGAATTAATTCTAGGCATAGTATATATTTTCTAAAAATAGTAAAGTGTTTATATCTTTTTGTGTTTCAACGTAAAATTAAATTTGTAAACAAAACGAGTTTATATAGAAATTTTGTAATATTATTTATGAAAGGAACAAGTTTGCCTCAATTATTTTGTAAGATTTTATTCAACAAAATGTATGAATCTTTTAGATCCAATATAAATACATATAATATATCAAGTTCTTTTCTAAAAGTGGAACAGCTTTTAGAAAATTATTTTATAAAATTAGAATTTTTAAGATTTAAGTAAAATGGTAAATAATTTATATAATTTTGACAACTATAATAATTAAAATTTTAATAGTCTTGATAATTTAAGTGAGGTCTGGGATAATTATGATTTTATTACTTTCAACGACAGCTTGAGCAATTTTTAAAAAGAAGAAGCTATATATTTTCTATATGTTTTCGCAACATAATGTCCGACAATTTCGCCGTTAAATACATCCCTATCGGAGTCGCACGAGAATTGTCGGAAGTACGCGATGTCCATAGTAAACGATGCTTTCGCGGAGGCGTCGTGCTGTTTTGGGAACTTCTCGAGGTATTAAGGGTAGAGGGAAACAGAAGGATAGAAAAGAGAACGATGGAGATGAGAACGAAGGTTAGTAAACGGAAGCGCGCGAGAAGGTTGTTTTATCGCTGGAATTGAATCTAAATAATCGGAGAGCACGAGGAGAAGATAGTTTTGAATATGTGAAACATAAAATTCTAAAAATTTGATAAACACATTTTACAAAATCACACATTCTTCACGATAAGCTGAATATATTCCGACTTATTAAAAAATATTTTAAAAAATTATTGCTGTATGGCGTATTGCTAATTTTGAGAAAAAGAATTAAAATAATATATAATAAGTTGTAGAAAATATGATATATTATATATAGAATATTAACAAATTGCAAATTATTTTTTAATCAAGAATATCAAGACAGAATGAAAATATTACATTATTTTTTTTTAGATATTCAACGATACTTTTAAGATTAACCAGAATTAAAAATTTTAATATAAAAAATAAATGAAAATTCTAATAGTTTAAGAATGTATGTATTACATCTCAAAACATTTCCAAAAGTATAAAAATTTCAAATTTTATTCAATTATTTGTGTAAAATTTGAGCACAGTTATCCTATTAGTTTAAAGATTATTTAATTTTCTATTTGCTCTTTAATTCTTTGTAAAATCGCGTTTTGTAATAGGAAATACCGAGACTGGTTCTCATACAGGGTTATGATGGTCGAAAAACTAATAATTCAACCATCATATGGCAAAGCATGCTCTTTCTTTTTTACTAGATTTTGTGT